AAGAGATCCCAAGAGAGAGAGATCAGAGAGAGAGAGAGTCAGAGAGAGAGAGAGAGAGAGAGAACGAGAAGATGAGAGAGAGAGAGAAGAGAGAGGAGAGAGAGAGAGAGAAGAGAAGAGAGAGGAGAGAGAGAGAAGAGAAGAGAGAGAAGCGAAAGAGCGAGAGGAGAGAAAGAGAGGGAGGGAGAAAGAGATATCGATGATCTGCAGGACACCGGGGTAAGGGTGTGGTGTGATGGTGGTGGTGGTGGTGGTGGTGTGTGGTTTGTGGTTGGTGGTGAAATCGTGGTCGGTGTGGTGTGGTGTGGTGGTGTGTGTAAGGAGAAGAGAGAGAGAGGAGATGGGTCGGCTATCGAAGAAGAATGAGAGAGCTGAGGGGAGAGCAGGTAAGCCCGGTGGGTGAATGAGTGACAGTACGTTGTGGGATGGTGAATGGGTGAAGTTGATGATAAGAGGCGGGAGACCGAGAAAGAAAACAGAAAGAAAGAAAAGGAAAGACTCTAGAGAGGAGAAAGAGGAGAAGGAAGAAGAGAGAGGGAGAGAGAGAGAGAAGAGAGAAAGAGAGAGAGAGAGAGTAGAACGAGAAAGAGTGGTTACGGATGAGGATAACGTTTGACACACACCCATGGGTCTGAAACACTCCGGCTACACATTAGATCGGCCCGCGTCAATTTTGATGAGTCATTCGTGTATATAACATCGGCTATGCACAAGCGCTGATTAACGGGCGTGCCCCGGTCCGCCGCGAGGGTTTCACCGTGATTGAACACGCTTCTGTGCAGCCACGATCAAATACGATTTTACGGTATTAGACCGACAGCCAAGGCGCCGAACGTGGCGCTGCTCGTGGATTGCTGCACACCAGGAACGTCTGGGAATGACTCTGCCTCTGCTTGCTTCTTTGTCGGAACAGCTAGGCGGTTAGTGCGACCTATCAATACAGATACCGAAAGGAAGAAGACGATGATCGTAGCGCTGCGTAAAATATATACTGATATATATATATTATAATATATATATATATATATGTAATATTATATA